ACAGGCTTTTCCTTTTTGGTCTCACAATACACTTTGTGCTACAGCTTTTGTCTAACAAATCAGGCTGGCTAAGGGATGAAGTAGAAAGATGCGAGCTGGATCCCCAGCTTCCCTTGCTGTTCCTCTAAGGCAGGTTAGTTGAAAACTAAGACCGTCCAAAGTAAAGAGTAACAAAGCACAGGTAACCTCCGTTACAGCCCAGCAAAGCAAACGGATCCAATTTTTCAGCCTGTCCTCTTCAAGGGAGGCTGGCTATGTCTCTCTCTGGAGGAGGGCCAGAAGGTTTTGGGTTGCTTTCATTGGCTTTTCCTTCAAACATCATGACCCTGCAAGACAACAGATAGTACAGATGAAAAGAACAAGTCCATCTTTATTCATCATTGCAGGATATATCTCGTGTGCTGGAATACAGCGAGGTCTCCCTGCTATGCAAAAGGCGTCCCCTGGCTAACACAGGACACAAAGCCAGAGGGCAGTGCTGGCAGCGCGGCCGGCAGCTTTGCTTTTCCAGCAGTTTCCAGGAGTGCCTTTCCCAGTGTCCCTGCTGCTTTTCCTCCCGGAGCACAGAGGATTAGCACGTTTGCTTTAGACGGCCACTTCCGAAATGCAGGCAGGCATTGCATGCTGAATACTTGTGATGTGCAAAAACAAATACCGTCCCTGGCCCACCTCATACAGAACGACAGCACACGACATTCAAAAGCCAAAACCCGAGCAAGTAACAGCAATTGTGGCCGGGCGAGACAGCAGAGACAAGGAGTAAGGCAGTAGCCAAAGGAATCCTAAGCATTTTGCAGCCGCCAGCACTGTCTTCCCCCCCGAGGGCTGCAGCCACGCTGGGAATGCCAGCTGCCCCGGCAAATCAAAAGATTTCCCTGCTCTTGGGCCGAGTTTTACATTTCTGCTCCTGCTTCAAACAGAGCCCAGCAGACAATGAGGTGCCTGTTAGCAGAAGGGGCCCATCTGTGCAAGCTGCTGCGGCGTGGAGGGAAGATGGAAGGTTTGGGCCGGGCTGCAGGCTCAGCCTGCGTCAGGGGAGCAAAAGGGAAAGCAGGATGTGAGGAGGGAGCAAAAGGGAAGGCAGGATGTGAGGAGGGAGCGTGTAACAGGGAACAACACCTTGACATGCCGAGACAGGGCAGCAAGTGGAGAAGAGGACAGACGTGGCTAGTGAGCAGCTACCACCAGCTCAGAGGGAAGGCAACAGGTAGGAATAGGATCCTTCCTCCCCACCTGCCTGGAAAGCTGGTGGCATTGCTAAAAAACATTCAGAAAGGGCCAAGGGGGTGGAGGGGAGCAGCTCCTGCTCAGCACGGCTGGACACACAGAAGCAGGGCTGGGCTGTAAAGGCACAGGCAGGTTTCCGTGGGGGTGGGCTCCCTTGGCTCCACGTCCACGCACTGCTGGCGGGAGCCAAGCTCGTGTCAGAAGCCGTTTGTTAGGGCAGGACTCGGAGCCCTGTTCGGAGGAGGCCGTGGGAGGCTCCTGCTGGCAGCTGAAAGCCATGGAAAAACCTCTCCCAGCACAGGGCAGCTGTTCTGAGCGCGTGTCCCCTCTCCACCTACTCGCACACACACTGCCTGGCTGTCCAAAGCCGGGCAAGGGCAGCGCATCCTGTGGAAAAGCCAGGTGCTCACACACTGCTCTAGCCCTGACACCGTTCACAGGCACAACCCGGCTCCAAAGCTAGCAAGGGCCGAAGAGAAGAGACAGGAGGGCCTGCAAAGCTGACTGCGTGCATGCTCCAGGGAAAAAAAGAAGGGAATAACTTAGCACTCTGCATGTAGGAGGAAGCCCACGCTAACACGCGGCAGGCAGCTCTGCCATGAATGCCTGACGATCCACAGCCCAGCCTAGGAGCCAGCTCTGGGGCTGGGATCCCGTCTGGGATCTCAAGCTGGAGGTTTTGCAGCATCCCTCGCATCCCCGGCTGAGCAAACCCTCTGCGAGCGCCCGGCCGTGCCAGCCCCAGCACCCGCTGCTTCCAGGCTCCCTCTGCACCCCAGCTCAGGTCCTGGGTCTCCCCAGATCCTCCCCAAAGGCACTCACAGCTTCAGTACAGCAGAGCGTTTGCCAAGCATCACATTGACGAAGTCCTGGTACGAGATGGTCTCGCTAACCCCTCCAGTCACTTCGGAGATCATCTTCTTCAGTTCTAGATGGGTCTTTGGAGCCCCCATCTTCTCCATCATCCTTTTGACGGACATCAAATCTGCAAGGGCAAAGCAGTCGGTGCTATCAAGCAACAACTACCCTGAGTACAGACCAGTCCTAGGGATGCAGCCCCAAATTCCCCCCTCACCTACCTACTCTGAGGCTGACAGTACTAAACAGATGTCCAAGAGCCAAAAAAAAAAAAGTCCTCCAGTAGAAACCATCGCTTCCTATTTCCTCAGGATAAAGCCCCATACATACCAAAGAGGGACAACTCTCAAAATGCTCCAGAGACACTCAGGAATGTTACTGTCTAGCTCAGAGTGTGGTGCCAAGAATAACAGGGATGTGGAGGAGGGAAGCAATGTTAAAGTAAGTTACTGGCCCCGTGGAACAGACACCCCTGCCCACCACCGCAGGTCATTTCCTTGGGGTTATTCTCACTGTGCAATGACCTGTGGCTCCTTCCCTGCTGGAATCAGCAGGGCAGCCCTAAGTTAGGCCTCCTCCAGGTTCCCCACAAGCTTCATTACAGCTCCAAGACATTTCAGGGTCAGCTCCAGGCCTTGAGAAGCTTGGATTTGTAGACAGCTGGTGCAGAGCGAGCCCTTGCAGACTCAAACGAGGCCACGCAGCTGACCAGACTCGCAGCCCAGTTCTGCTTCTTCCTTCCCAAACTGAAGCGCTTGCTTATGGTAGAAAGGCCCATGGCTTTACCTGGCAACCCAGAACAGTCCAAACCCTGCAGCTTCCCTGTTTTGAAAATAATGACTGGAAAGAAGGCAGCCTCAGTGGAGAGACAGAGAAGAAAAGGATTCAGATCAGAAAGAAGCAAAGGAGATGAGAAAGACTCAGGAGACGACAGGACTCAGAGGAGCTGAGGTCTTGAAGCAGGTGAGGAAAGACTGAAAAAACTTAAAGGCAGGCACTGGAAAGCTGAAGAAGTCCCTGCTTGGGGATCAAAGGCCAAGCAAAGCTGCCCACAGGAGCAGCCCACAAGTTTCTGCCCTCGGCAGCAGTGAGGCAGGATGGGGGCAGATCTAGCAGGGTTCATCTCAGCAGGCTGCTGTCCTGCCATCCAGGATCCTCCAGGGAGTCACTCACCAATCTCGCCTTGGTTATTCAGGTCAAACTCCATGTACTTCTCTGGAAGAGACACAGAGAAGCGAGTTAGCAGATGAGAGCTGCCCCAGCAGGGCAAACACTAGAGCAGTTGGTGTACGCAGATCCTCATAGCACTACCTGTTTGGACTAAAGAAATGGGAAGATTTGAGGATAAAACTGATGTACTGCCAGAAGCAAACTGTTCAGAGAGGAAGATGGTCTCAAAACTTGCTTTTAGCACCCTCGTCTCAAGTCCAGGGCTCTAGAGTTAAGTGCTCTTTAATTATGGTTGCATTGCTTTTAAGCTGAAGGAAAACAGCTGGCATGAGAACAAGCAGGTATCAGCTGGCCACGAATAGCTTTAGAGTCTTTCCAGCCAGAAAAACAAGGCTCTGAAACAGCCTCCCAGAGGAGTAGCAAGAAAAAACAACCCCCTGAGCACTTCTCAGATGAAGCTTGATCGGATTAGGAAAGGAATTAAATGACGTAGTTTCCTGCAATAGTAAGGGGCAAACTACAGGCTTCCCAACCCCGTGCTGCACTCACGGAGCAGCATCTGCCAGCAGAGATGCTCAAAGACATCCTCAAAAGGGCAAAGCTGAGAACGTGCCTAGGAGCTGTAACACTGGATCTGGCTATTTGGCTCTCCACCTGATGCCACAAACCCCTGAACCTGGCAGCTCCAGCATCCTCGGAGCAGGCACTGCCTGCCCAAGGTCTGGGCAGCTTTGTGGGAGGAAAGCTGGCAGGGCAAAGCAAACAGTGCTGAGGTGAGTTAGGAAACCTTGATTCTAGTCCTGTGCTGCTGGTTGTGGGAGACACACACTTCCACTTCCCACCCTTCCCCTGCCACCTGTTCCCCATTTAGACTAAGCTCTTCAGGCAGGGATTTGTGTTACTTAGGGTACATGCAGAGCCTGGCCCAACAGGAGGGCTCCCTGTCACCTCTGTGCAGCTAAGTGGACAGAGCAAGATACCTGTTGCCACCATCCGTCCAAGGACAGCAAGGGAAATGCCCACTTGTCCCCAGAACTGCCTCAAAGAGCTTCTTAAGGAAGAATTCCAAGGCTCAGGCTCTTTTCTCCAGTGGGAAAAGACCTTTTTTCCTGCTGCTGCAAGGGTACCAGCAAGCAGACGAGGGTGAACTGCAGATTTCAGGAGCCAAAGGGAAGAGGAGATATTTCACACATCAGCACCTCTCCAAAACCTGTCTTCCTGAACGAAAATCCTGGGTTAACCAAATGGATGGGCAGCACAGTCAGAATTGCTCAGCGGGTCCACCTGGGTCTTGGCTGGTGGATTGCTCGTCATGAGCCGAGCAGCACTGAGCAGAGGTGACACTGGATACCCCAAGGAACCTCCCCAAGTTAATGGGCAGAGGTCAGGCATTGCAGCATGTGCTGGGGCACACAGACCCTGCTCTGCCCTGGGTTTTCTTTTCTCCTCAGCCATGTAACCAGAAGCGCAGAAACAGAGGCAGCTTCGCATCATCACCCACATCATCACCTCGGCTCCAGCATCCTTCCCTTCCACTCCACCCCGCCACGGTCCCTCCTCTCCTAAGGACATTTACACACATGTCCCCTGCACAAGCGCTCCCAGGACTCTGGGCAGGGAGGCAGCGGGAGGGAAGGCAGGGAAGAGGCACCCCCATCCACACACAATGAGCCGATTGTTGCAGGAGCCGGCGGCGTTGGAGAGCAGGACAGGCCACGGAGACAACGCACGAGGCAGCGGGAGCAGATGCCAAGGGCTCTCGTTACAGGGAATTCTGCGCCTGTGACCTACAACCGCTGTGCTGGAAGACATTGTCCGCAATTTTCCTGGTCGGGACAGGAAAATAATTCAAGGCTGCAGCAAAAACCGAAAGCCATATGAGAAAGAGGAAATCAGGCATGTGGCTCCTCCACGCCTAGCAGGGTAAAGGATCACAACTCCCCAGGCAGCTTCCTCCATGTGGGATAGCCAAGTCAAAATGCAAAGGGAAGTAGCAGGCAATGCCTGAAATGGGAGCAGCGTCAGGCTTTATTTGGTTATAGCCAGGCAGAGGACAAACCTCGGGGCAGTGTGACGCAGATGGCATGTTTTCCTCGGCGGTCACGGGGAGACCAACTGCCTTTGGCCGCTTCTTGAAGGAGAAGTGGGTGCACTCAGAGCAAACCTGCCAAATCTCGTCCTTTAACCACCTTGCGGGTAAGCCTCAGAGGACACCCCCCCAAAAACCACTCAAAATCCAGGGTTTTGAGCTGTTTCTGTATCCTCTGTCCCAGCCTTCTCAGTGTAGACCTAAGCCTCAGACCTACTGATGCTCTGAAGTTAAACAGAGAGACTTTGGGCAGAAAATTAGAGAAGTTACTGCTGGCCTCATTATTGAGGGGCTCGGGAAGGCCCCTCAGTGTAAGGGCTGCACACCAGATCCGAGGCCCATGTGCAAAGGGGGGCTTCCCTCTCAGCCACTTGTACTGTTCAGCACAAAGTGCTGGGCTGGTTAGATCCAACTGCTGAGAAGAATAATCTGTTCAGAGCAAGTAGTCAGGCTGAAAAAGGCCATGGAAACCCTCCAATTCTCACCTTTGAACACTGCCAACTTCTCCTCCAGATCTTCTTCATCACTGAACTTCGGGTCACAGAGAAATTCCTAAAACACGGAGAGAATATCCCCAAGATTAAAGGCAAAGCTGAACAGGCTAGACAGGATGTGCACAGCAAAACTACCCGAAAGAGCTAAGCAATTCCCAGGAGCCACATTTGGACTACAGTGCCAGAAGGCTTAAAGATGGGCTGAATCCCTCCATGCCTTGTCGTTAACATGGGAGAATGCTCCTAGGGCTTCCGATTGCTAACCAGCAGCTCAAGGGAGGGCTGGA